TTCCTGTGTCCCATAGCTGCTTCTCGCTGCAGGTGTTACCCTTATTTTACAGAAATGCTCATTGAGGCTGGAAAAGGTTGTGATTTGCCCATTGTCACTTTTAGTGTTTGAAGCGGGGTTTGAAGTCAGATCTTCCTGAGTAGTCAGGAGGAAATTACATTTTAAGCAGGAGAGATGTGTGAACAAAAGGATGGAGACAGGTGAACAGTGCAGGAACAAGATACTGGAACTGGTCTAGTTTAACTGGATTGAATACCAGAAATCAAGAAAGGTGGGTTTGAATCATACTGTGGAGGGCTTCAAAAGCCAAGATCAGGATGGAAGGAGTTGGCTTATTGAAGATATATTGCAGGTGGGAAGATAATTGAAATAGCAAAAATCAAGGTTAACTTCAGCAAGAATCTCTTGCTAAGACTGGGGTGTGGGGTGGGGCATATTACCTCCTGACTGAACTGTTTCAATGGCTTTCTCATTGTTCTCTCTTCCTCTAATTTATCCCATTTTCCACTAGGTTCCTCCACATAGTTGCCCCTGGCAGCAAAGTGATTCCTAAAGTTCTTGGGTGACCATATCTGTCACTCCTGCCAAAGAAGTTCCAATGGCTCTCTTTTGCCTCTGGGATCAAATACACAGCCTCCCTTTCCAGGCTGTTACTTTACTCCCTTTCAGCCAAAGGGAGTCCAGCCTACTGTCGAGCCAAAATGACCTACTTGTTATCCCTCCCACACAAACCTCTGTCTTTGTGCAGGTTGTCCTTCATGCTTATAATGTACTCCTTCCTTGGCTTCAACTTTTAGACACCTAGCTTGTTTCAGAAACCACCTCATATGTGAGGTGAGGCCTTTCTTGATTTTCTTCCCTTTCCCCCTCCCAAAAATAAAAAAGTTACTTTACATTTTTTACTAGATAGATATATGTTTCATTTTCTGGAATGTAAAGTACCTTAAGGCCAGAGACTTTATCTTTGTATACCAACTTCTGTCACTGTGCCGAAGATGTTTCAGATGTGTAATCAATATCTATACTTGATGTAGTTGATAACAAGGTTGCCCTGATACAGTGAGAGCCCAGTGAAGTTAGCATAAATTTGTAATGGAACCAGTCAACTCTTTAAGGGGGTGGATGTTATCCAGCATTCCAGACCACATCTTCTACCTTGACCCTTGCTTAACAGTTTGAAGAACTTTATTAGGCAAATCACTTTAGTTCTCTGAGCTTCAATTTCCTTATCTGTAAAACAGTCTTGCAATACCTCCTGAGAAGATTGTTTTGTGGATCCCATTTGTGTGTGTGTTTTTAATATTGGCATATGTACACACTTCTTTGGTAGAGGAATTTTTCATCTATGGCCTTGGCATAACTTTGTATAAAGAAAGATATTATGGTACTCAAGTGAGTCTGTGGTCTTACTACTGTGGATTTGTTCCTTCTAATGATTCAAATCAAATCCCATCCATGTTGCGTGAAAGAATATAACACCAAATATACAATTCAATCCCATTTGCCTGATTTTTCTGATTATAGACATTGACATTTCATTATAATTCTCATTTATTAAACCTAAAGTGTACATCCTATTTTTTCTAAAGCTTGAATTCTATGAATTCCTTAGAACTAGAATATGTAAAATATTATGTTCATTAACAGCACATTAGTATATCTCATGTTTGCTTTTCCTTTAGAAGGGAAGAAAAACATAAATTATGCAAAGGAAAAGGATTTGGAATTTTTATGACTGACCATATGAAATATGAACCTAATGGTTCCTTCATCTTAAAGCTAGCTGAAGTTTAAACAGTTTTAGACAGATGTTTCTATCCTGTTGTTAATATACCTGTTGGGAAATTAATTTCTTTTCCTTGGCAACCAGTCCCTTTGTTTAACATCCAGCAGGAAATATCAAATAAAAAGCATTAATGCTATCATTTAATCCATTTTCTTATACAGTGCCCACATTACATGTCCAATTAAGTCCTTTAACCTTTTCTGGTTCAAATTATCTAGGTTCTTTTCGTCATTTTCTCAGAGGTGACAAATATTATATATATTTTGTGGCTTATAAAAGCACTTATCTCATTTGGACCTCACAATTCTGTGGTACAGCTAGAATCATACATTACCGCCCCTCTCTTATATATGAGAAGAAAACTGAGATGGTTGTGGCTGGTTGTACCATTTAGTCCAATTCTCATTGTGTTTGTTTTCATACTCTACTCATCTTAGTGACCTACTTTTGACAGACCCTCTCTCCCATGTCTCCATGGCCATTTCTATTTTATGTGCATATGATGACAGTGATTACCTGACAGGTGCTGGGAATAATTTGACATTTGTCTCACTGTTCTCTTTATTCCAGTAATGTATAGGCTTTTCTATATGAATGAGAGTCAGATGTTACCATGAGCCAATTGTGGGGGAAGAGAGATAAGTTGTTGTGAAGAAATTTGCTTCCCTTTCCCTTAAATTTCCACAGTTACAATGTGTCTCTTTGTGATGTGAGAAAGAGGAATGAGAAGAGGTAGGTGTTAGCCATGGCTTTTTCTACACCACAGTCAGGCTCCTCCCCAAAATTAGAGTTTAGAATGAACATAGTTGTTTGTTTGTGGGGGGGTTTTTTGGTTGTTTTGTTTACTAACTGCAGGCACACTTACTAGGAACTAAAACCAATACAATTTAAGCTCTTTGGTGTGTAACAGGTATTTTGCTTCAGTGCTTAGAAGGGGAATAAAGATAAGTTGGATAAGGAAGAAGGGGACACCAAAGTAGCATTCTGAACTATTATCTACTATTATTAGGGAATTTTCCTATAAAAACCACTTTATGCATGGGGAACAATGTAGCATAGTAGAAAGGGAACTTGGAAATGTATGTTCATATTCATGAATCTCTTACTTAATTGTGGTCAACATACTTAACCTTTCTTGGCCTCAGTTTTCTTTTTTTTTTAATTTTCTCAGTTTTCTTTAACTTCATTCCTCCTATGAGGTAAAATTTCTAAACCTTAAAGTACATTATAAGTGGAAACTTTTATTAGTTTCATTTATTTATAACTCTTTGAATAATTTTTTATACGGGGAACTATACTCAGCCTAATATTCTTAATTGGTTGTGCTTAGCAGCAAAAGAATAAACTTGGGGTTGTATATGTACTTTTAGGTGTGTGTGGGCCAATTAAAACAATGAGTTCGGGGGTGTCATTTCTATGGGAGAAAGTTGCTTTGCTGAGGAAAGGAGACTGTCCTTAAGCTAAGGACTTTGAAAGAAAAGGTATCAAGAGGTTTGTAGGGAAGAATATTCTAAGAAAGGGGAGCACAAAAGTAGATAGGACATGGGATCAAGGAACTGTTCATAAATGGTCCACTATTGGATTGCCTATAGAGTATATGAAGAGAAGGCTAAAAGAGTAGGTTAAAACTAGATTGTGGATTGTTTTGATTGGCAGGCTGAGTTGGAGGGGTTTTCCCCCTAGTAAGGAATAGAAATCACTGAAATTTCTACTAATAATGTAAATTATAAGATTATTTTGGTATCTATGTGAAGAATGTATTGATAAATGTGAGACTTGAAGGGGAGGGAAGGTTTTTTGCATACTGCCGCAATCACTAGAGACAGATGAAAGGGAAGATTTGAGGGAGATTTCACAATTAATTGGACATAAATGGGAGGAGAGAGAAAAGTTAGAAATAACTGAGGTTTTAAGCCTGTGTGATTATAAGGATGACAATGGCACAACTGCAAGGAAGTTTGGGTACAGAAAATCAAGAAAAAAAGGCCAGTGTGGCTGGAGTAGAGTCCCTGTGGTTATATGCTTCCTTAGTGGACATAACCTTCCACTAATTCCAAATACAAGAGCTCTTTGGAAGATGCAGAAGACATTTGGGATTGGATAGATAGGATGGGGCCCACTTTCAAGGTAGGGGAGCCTTGGAGGTAGGTTTTTGTTTTGTTATCTTCTAAAACAAAGGCATCATGGATCATGGTGGATACAGAGAATGCCTTGGAGCCTGGAAGACTTGTCTCTGACATGTGCTGGCTATGTGGGCAAGTCACAGAATGTTTCAGTGCTTTAGGCAATTTTCTTAAACTCAGAAGCTGTTGACCTAAATTGATAGAGGGAGTTTCCTCACTAGTAGTTCTCTGTCATCAATGAAATCATGGGTCTAGTCTCCATCCTTTGGTTTTTTTGTTTTTTTTTTACACAGGGAAGTGGATATACTACAGTTTTTCCTTTAAAGATTATTAAGGAAAGTATTGTAGAACTTAAAGAACCTTGCAGTTATTTTCCAGGAAGGAGAAGAAAGATGTGAGAGATTTCAAGGAGATTTTCCAATACTTGGTGACTGGGCATAGGAAATAATGGGGAGGAAAGGTGATTTGGGTTTTGAATGTGTTGGATTTGGATTTATTTATGCAGTTGATTATTATGGGTTGAGTTATGCTACTTAAAAGGAAGAAGAGAGTGTTCTTTCTCCACTCCCAAGCCTGAAATGTATCTCTCATAGGCTCAAATATGTAGTCTTAAAGTCATAGGCTTAAATTGTAGTCGTCGTATGTATATCATCATTCCTATTCCCTGTTCCCCCACTCTCAGTCATCTCTGGGTATCTGTAAGCTTCTTCAGGGTAAGGATGGTTTTATTTTACCAATCTTTACATCCCACACAGTTGATATTACAGTGCCTTGTATATATAGTGTTAGTACATTATTAAAAGGTCAAGAAGAAGATTTCCTATTAGGAAAATTAAAGAAAGGGAATTTTTAAAGGGGGGGAAGAGATGGTCATCATAATTGAGAGGCAGATATTTTAAGAATCTGGGGGGGTATTAAAAACCGGGTTGGGTGGGGGGAGGTAGTGTAGTTTCAGTAGAGGAAAGAGATGACTACAAGAGTTTAATATAAAGTCTAGATTGCTGGTTGCTTTAACTTTGAGAAGTTAAAGCAATTTTAACTGAATCTACGTATCTTTGTAAATCCTAGGGTAATCTCATAATGTGTTTCAGATGATAAAAAAGATATTGACCATGAGACAGTGGTGGAAGAACAGATCATTGGAGAGAATTCACCTCCTGATTATTCTGAGTACATGACAGGCAAGAAACTTCCTCCTGGAGGAATACCTGGCATTGACCTCTCAGATCCTAAACAACTGGCTGAATTTGCTAGGTAAGTCACAAGAATTGCAACACCTCTTCCCTTCCCCCCCCTTTTTAAAATTTAGACAATACTCTTGGGGTTATGGTCAGCTATAATATTTACTGTGCCTTAGTCGCCATTGTGGTTTCTATTATTTTACTAGGGAAACTTTGAAAACAAAAGTGGTCAGTTATTTAAGCAAGTGTGCTGATGGGTGTGGCAGCATTTTGGATCCTTTGAGGCCATAGAATGGAGGAAAATTTCTCCCTTATAGAAACCGAAAATCATCTTTTACCACGTTAACTCTGCTATTTTAATTCTGAATTTTGAAAGCATATTAGACTAGGGTTTAGGAGACTTGGCTCATAGTCCGTTATCTGTTAATTGATTCTACCATTCTGTGCCTTGGTAAAACATCAAATTTTAGAATGTCAGATCAGTAAGCAGGTATAGCCTCATCCCTAACAATACAAGCAGTTGACTGGAAATCTCTCGGTCAGTAACTGGTAAAAGGTTAGGAAAGATCTAGACCAACATCCATATACAAAGGCTCTTGCCTCAGATGCTAGCTACCTTTGAGACCCTGGGTTTGTCACATGACCCCCTGCCTTCAGTTTCCTTATCTATAAAATGAGGATGGTAGCACCTGCTTCTCAGGGTTGTTGTGAGAATCAAATGACACAAAGCACTTTGCAAACCTTAAATATTACATAAAGGGTATTGAAGAAGTAATATAGGGTATAGTAATATAGGGTATTTGGAGTCAGGACCTAGTCAGGATATGGGAACCTGTGGCCTTAAAAGCCACATGTGGCCCTCTAGGTCCTCAAGTGTGGTCCTTTGACTCCAAATTTCCGCAGAACACATCCCCTTAATTAAAGGATTTGTTCTGTAAAACTTGGACTCAGTCAAAAGACGGCACTCAAGGACCTAGAAGGCCACATGTGTTCTTGAGACTATTGGTTCCCCACCCGTGACTAGTCTCTAATTAATACTTGCTGAAATTCAGTTTCTTCAGCTTCAAATAAAGATAACTTCACATATCTATCTTAAAGGTTCGTCATAAGACAATCTAAGTTATATGCTTTGTAAACTCTTAAGGGGTACAAATATGTTGATTATTACCACTAAACTATGGAGAAGCTCCATGGAGCAAGAAGCATAGTATGTAGTCAGAGGTTATTTGGGCTTCAAAGTTGATGTTGGAGCCTGTTAGTCTTTACTGTGGTTTAGCGATATACTTCAGCACTTTGTCTCAGCCCAGTGAATTGGTAATGAAGCTTTGGCTAATTGATGCTTAGGGGAACTAGAAAGTACTGTTGTTAACATTTGGTGGTGGTGATATGACTTCTTGATTCCTCTACAAGCATCATCAGGTAAGTTGAACTGACTTGCCTTAACCAATGGTAATCAAATATAGTACCTTGCACCTTGCCACAAGACACTATTGAAGAGCACTAGTGTAGTCTGTATTAAAGTGCACGTGGTTTCTTTGGCCATTTTACAAGCATTACTCTTCCACATTATGACAGTAGGTAGATATAAAAGAAGTTTAAAGCTCATCACATTGTAAAGACATTATCTGAAAACTTTTTCTTAAACCTGGTGGGAGGGAGTTAAAAGAAAGAGGCTTGTATATTTCTAGATTGGTTTATAGAATCTTCCTTAAAACTCCTGGTTAAAAGTGATCTTCCCCTCTGGGGAACTCAGAATAGCCCTTTGATTATGTATCTGTCCTGTTTGTTTTTCTGCCTTCTGGTCTTACCTATTTATTATGTTGTAAATTGAGGCTGATCTTAATAATCTACATATCACCCTTAGCACCTAGGATTTGCTTATGATAATAGTTAAATAAATTCTGGAGTGATGAGTGAATCATATAAGTATATAAATATATCTATAGATATAGATATATATATAAATTGTACTTATATATTAGAATTATCTAGATGCATTCTAAAACAGTTGGTAATACCATTGATTATAGAAAACAATTACAAATTGATCCAGGCAAAGTGATGAATAAACACTTCTTGCTTAGAGCTTTAGGTTCTAATTCAGGGGTTACCCTTATAGCTAGTATGGGGATGGGAGATAGTCAGCATTTGGAATTGTGCTATTGATGACTGTGATGAAAATAATTATGACATTTTAAGAGACCTAGTATGATATAATAATCCTCACATTTCTATAACGTTTTATAGCTTATAAATTGGTTTTCCTTAAAATCATATGTGGGAAGGCAGTAAATGTTATCCATTTTACAGATGGGGAAACTAAGGCACAAAATGGTGAATCGACTCAACTGTTGATAGGTAGCGGTACTAGTACTCAAAGAAATGTCTTCTGATTCTAAGTCTAGTGCTCTTAATCACTATAACTTTATCATAGAAACAGATGAAGGTGTCTGATCAGTGGTAGAGACTTGATTGATGACTGAATTGCTCCCTTTGGGCAAAATTGCCAGATAGCAAACTTATTTAGGCCCTATTCTGCCTCCCTTTTCCACCCCATCCTCCATCTCCACCACCTGCTGTGTAGTGCCTTTGTGCTTTGGCACACCATGTTGCTTTCCATAAACTACCCATGCTCCAAAATTGCCTTTTGTTTTCCAGTGGAGTTGAGGGGAAATGGGGGCGGGGAGGGATTGTGTACTTAAGACTCATTTAAGCCCAAAAGAAAGTAGTCAAATGATCTAATTAAAAGTGATTCATATTGAGAAGTTTATGACCAATGGGAACTTAATTGGTATATCTTGAGCAGGAACAGACTTATTCCCAGTAAAAAATATTTTTAAAATTGGGAAGGGAGGAGAGGTTAAAAATCTTTAGTAAATTCTGGCCCTTGGTTTGCCCTTAATTTAGTTTAAGTAATTTGTATTAATTTGTGGCACAACACACTACAAAAGTTTGTTCTCTGAGTGTCCACCCAGGCAGTTTACAGATTGATAGTAATATTTTTTATTATGTCAAATACAGACCCTACCTGCTTCACATAGTTGTACTTTAGATCAGATTAAGTGTTTTAAGAGTTTAAGTCATTAATTAAGAGCAACCCCTTAATTAAGGATTTGTTTCATTACATATTTTGGTTTCTGGAATGATTTGATCATGAGTCCCTTTATCAAATATTTCATCAAAAGCAATGCTATTCTTTCCATAAATCAGTGGTAAGTTCTACAGGAGCTTTTGGCCTACTAAAATGGTCCAAGGACTTCCAAAATGTTCATGGAATCTCACTCAGGGTTAGGAGGGATCTTAGAAGTCATCCAACCTAATAGAATATAGTTTATCAAGAGCAGAGACTGTAATTTTTTATCTTTTTATCACTGGTTTCTTGCTTCTAATGGACACTTAATCATTGCTTTGTTGGATTGAGTTTAGCCCAGTACAAAACCTGAAGCAAGAATCACTTGACATCACCACCAGACTACCCCACTACCTTTGCTTGAAGATCTCCAATGATTTGAAACTTACTGTAGGCAGCCCATTGTACTTCTAGACATTTCAGATTCTTAGGGAAGTTCTGTAGTGCTATTAAAAAAAACCAAAACCCTAATTTGCTTATCCATCCTACTTGTCTCATAAAGTAAGCATATTGAGACTGAGATCAGTGACAGTATGTGACAACATAATCAAAAGACATGGAATAGTGATATTCCCACTAACTCTTCATTCCTTTCCCAGGCTTGAATTTCTTTCTAAAATGCTTTCTCATGATACTGTGATTCTAGAAACTTATACTATATAAATTAAACTTAGTTGCATTTCCCTGGCATTAAGATGACCCTTTTGCAGCTAACTGTGTTTGTTTCAAGAAGCCAACTTTCCAAAAGAGCAATATATGCAATTTAATGGAGGAGAAATGTTCCATTTTAAGCCCATTTTAAAAATTCTGGTTGGATTTCCCTTCCCCAGTTTTATATAGCAGATTAGGGATCTACTAAATAAAATATCTTTTGTGCTTGCTTGTTTCTTCTGTCTCGACCTAATGGTTTACACTTTCAGATAATTCTGGATGATTATTCCTCATGAGCCCAAGAATCTATCAAGTTTGAATTTTATTTCTGGTATTCAATTTTAATTGCTTCCTGGGTAGTTAGAAAAAGATCCTTCATTAAAACACCCTTGAAAGCAAGTAAATATTCTGAAGAGGATTACATGATTTGAATCTTTGTCTGGTAGCATTTAAGAAATTTAAAAATTGCCCCTTTTCAGAAAATAGTTTTTTTTTCTACTAGACTTTAAAAGATCATAAATAAACTCTTAATTTTTATTCTATCCTCAAACTGTTTAATTTACTATGATGCTTTAATAACTAGATTTCTGTGTGTATCCAAGGGTGCATTTTAAAATATATTTCATACTGAAATTCATTTTCCCGTAACCTAACAAAAAAGGAGATGGCTCTTGATTAAAGTCTTCTGGGTATCTGTACTATGCCTATTTTACTCTTATGACTTTATTTTTATTTATTTATTCATTCATTTTTGATGCCCCTGCAACTGGAAAGACGCCCCCCCCAAATTGTATAGATTTGATATTTTTTGCTAATCCAGAGAGAGAAGGTGGGGGAATCCTCATTAAAACTAGAACTCTTAAAATTTGATTGTATCAAATTTCAAATTTGGCCTGTTTGTATTTGAGTAAAAAGTCATAGGATTTATAATTGATGCTGTTTGCACTGACTTCTAAGAATCAGCAGATCTGGATCCAACCTCTAGGTGGAGCAGTATTACAAAAAAAAATTGTACAGCCTACTTATTTCATCTGTTAGGTGTGGATACAGGCCCAAACCCAGAGATTTATGAGTCTTTGTTGTGGAACAAAGCCTAGTACAGGGGTGGGGAACCTTCCGCCTCAAGGCTGCCTAGGTCCTCAGGTGCAGCCTTTTAGCCGAGTCTAAGTTTTACAGAACAAATTCTTTTATTAAGGGGATTTGTTCTGTGAACTTTGGATTCAAACAAAGGGCCAAAAGGGTCAAAGGGCTGCACTTGAGGACCTAGAGGACCACATGTGGCCTTGAGGCCACAAATTCCCCACCCCTGGCCTAGTACAATATTAAGAAAACATTTGTTAATTATAGTGATAATCCAGTTATCACAACTTAATAGCCTTTCCTTAAAGGTGGAAATATCTAGGTATACAGTCCCTGCCAGGGTTGTTTAGACTGCTTGGTCCAAGAACTTGTCTAATTCTTTCCTTTCTACTCTACATAGATCCTAAGGGAGAAATTAAAGGGAAGGTTTTTTGACATCCTTGCCAAAAGACCAAGTTTTAGGTCAGTGTAAATGCCAGGTAAGTCAGAGGATAATTTAGGAACCAGCCAGAAATCAAAGAGCTTAGGGTTCTTTCTTTTGCCCCGTAGTAGGAGGCTGTGATGATGCTTTGATCTCTTTGTTTCTGTCTGCCTTATTTGGGAGTAAGAATTCCCATGGTAACAGTTGATGGGGTTTGGATGTTGAGTTTTGTATTTACAAAGTGGCCAACCTTGAGCTGCTCTGTCACCTCTGCCATAACTTTTATTAGCATAGTAGTGTGTGTTGTACTGTATGGAGTAGAAAGCACTGGATTTAGTTAGATCTGTGTTTGAGTCCTGATTCTGCCATATAACCAAGCAAATTACTTCCCTTAGGATCTCTGTTCCTTTCTGTAAAACACTTGTACTGACAGGGGAAAGTACTTTGTAAGTAAATGGTAGCTAGCACTGTGGAAATAACTTGTTCCTATAACCTTTTTTTTCTTCTGAAGTCCGAACTTCTTTCCAATTCTTTTCTAATTGTCTACCTGCTGACCTAAGATTTATAGTGGAAAATCAAAATTAAAGAAAATTTCTTCACTCCTACAGGCCATGTTCCCCTTTTGTCGAAATTTTTGATTACTAAAACATCAATTCCTAGATACTTCTGTTCTGGTTCTAGGATTTGATTGTTCGACTTAAAATGTTGCAGATTTTTATCCAGTTTATCTGTGTTTCATACATACCCAGTAATATCCTTAGTATAAATCAGAGATAAGAGAGGCGAAAATCAAATGCTTGACTAGCACTACTGGTACTAGCAAGCCTCCTGCAATTAGCCATCTGATGGGTGTCCAAAGGTATATAATCAGGATGTTAAAGGGACTTGAAACCATATTGTGGGGGTCATTGGAAAGAACTGATAATGTTTGGACTCAAAGAGAGAAGGCTGGGAGAGAGGGGTGAGTAGGGTGGGAAATGATCATTATCTTTCCTACAGAGTCATGTAGGAAGAGAAATTCTGCTTATTTTGATTCAGAGACAGAATGAGGAACAAAGTTGAAGCTGCAGAGAGGCAGATTTTGACTTGATATATTTTAAAAACAAACTTTCAAGCCATTAGAGTTAACAAAAAGTAGAATGAGCTGCCTTGATAGGTAGTGAGTTGACTTACCACTGGAGGTTTCATCAGGGATGTTGTTAGAAATTTCTGTCCAGGTTGGACTAGGCGTCTTCTGAGGCCCTCCTACTTTGAGATATGGTAGCTATGTGATTTTTATATTAGGATAACATTTCAGGGAATATGATTTATTTCAGTTGAGTCTACCCACTCCTGCAAATGCCTGTCTCTCTCTCTTTTGTAAGAATGAAGCCAAGAAAAATTAAAGAAGATGATGCTCCAAGAACAATAGCTTGCCCTCATAAAGTAAGTAATGCTAGGGGATTTATGGGAGTTTGGTGATGACTGTCATTACATTGTAAAATGTTGATTTTTCAAAATTTACATTTTTTTCATCTTCCTATTGACAACACTTTGCCCCTAGAGTTCTTTTGTTAAAATAAGGAGATTTGATTTATCTCTGAATTAGATATTCTCTTTTTGATGTAGCTCTTTTTTTCCTAAAAGTCCATTTTAGTTACAGGAGTAGTGCATTGTGGTCCCAGTCTCTTTATTATTATTGTTATATTAATCCTTTTTAAACATTTTATCAATACTTGGAAATTTTTCAAATGATACTAACCCAATATTTATCTTTACCTCGAAGTTCTGATGAATTATTGGGACACTGGGGTTGTTCTTTCCAGGCTCCATGATTTTTAGTGACTGATCACAATCTTTCTTCACTTGGGGGCATGAACTTCTCTGCTAGGTTAGCCTCACAGGTCAGACAAAATAGTCTGACGGTAGGCCTGTAATCAAAGGCTTTGTAACTTGCAATAGATCCTCCCCAAAATAATTTCTCTGCTGACATATCCTTTGAAAACTTAGGGTCAGATGCATACCTCAGGTATGCATACCTGAGTTTCTGATGTAATAGATTTGTTTTCAAACTTAAATATGAATAATCTGATTAACAACAATTTTTTTCATGGCTACTATAGGAAAGGAAAGTGATACAAACAGAAAGTTTTAAAGATGCTAGGAAGAAATCTGAATTTTGAGTTAGGCGCAGAAGTTGGTGAAGCTAATGAAATAAAAAGGCAAGGAAGTCACAAGATAGGGAGTGAAGATGTATAAATTTAGCTTCAGCAAAATCATGTATTTTAAGTCAGTATTCACAGCTTATGTTTCCCAGTCTGACCTCACTGAATTGATGTTGAGATTTGTAAGTGGGAAAGGACTTCCATTGGGATCAGAAATTAATGTAGATTTCTAAATAGTGTTGCTAAGTTTCTGTCATCTCATTTCTTCCAAAGATTTTTAAAAGCTCTAATCTCCCAAATAGCTACTTAGTGGCCAAGGTAAAATGACTTTGCTTCCTCCAAACCCCCAACCTCAACTCTGCTCACCATATACCACCCTTTCTGTCTAGGAACTGTTTTAATGGTTATTTATTCTGTCCTTCTATCATGCTGTTTTATCATTTTTTCAACCACTCCATTATTTGGCAACAACTGCAGAAGAAATTGTTATTGACACTCTTCTTAAGCACCACATATCCATCAGCCTCAACATGCATTGCATTGGTAGTCAGTTTGTCTGCTTCTCTCTGTTCCTCGTGTCTCACAGAATCAATTTCTTCTGTAGTTGCCATTCCTTGGAGACCCTCTTGCTTCTTTCTCTGTCATGAAGGGGAAAGAGGCAAAGAGAGAAGAAAGAGGGAAGTAGGAGATGGAGAATGACAGACCATACTTGCACCAAAGACTATGGGGCCCACCAAAGGTAGTGGTGGAGTGCCATCATTTTAATTCCATTTCTTTATCAGTGCTTCTTTCTATTAATATTTTTGTGGACAGCAGATTTGGGAGAGATAAAGAAAGACTAGATAGAATCAGGAGACCTGGGTTCTAGTCCCACTTCTGCCACAGATGAGCCATGTTGCCTTGAGCAAGTCACTTCCCTTCTCTGGGCCCCAGTTTCCTCATTTGTAAAGTAAAAGGGTTAAATTGCATGATAGCCTTTTTGGTTCTAACATTCTGTAATTTTATCTTGAAATGTTTATCACATTTACCATTAGAAACTATATCGTAAGCTTTTGAAACCATTAATCTTTGTTAAAGTGAGTTTTACTGTAATTTTTAAGTAATGTAAGAATTGTGGGTTGGAAAAAGTGAGCAAACTTTTTGAGGAAAGTTTTATGTTATAATGGTCATTATGGTTTGGGTTTTTTGTTTTTTTTTTTAAGGTGACAGTAGTGACTATTCTAGTGGTTTGAATGGTTAAAAAATTTGAGGCAAAAATAATGAAGTTTTTCTCTCTGCTTTAAGGGATGCTCAAAGATGTTCAGGGATAACTCTGCCATGAGAAAACATCTGCACACCCATGGTCCTAGAGTCCACGTATGTGCAGAATGTGGAAAGGCTTTTGTTGAGAGTTCAAAACTAAAACGGCATCAACTGGTTCATACTGGAGAGAAGCCCTTTCAGGTATAGCCAATTCTTTTCTTCTGTCTGCTTTGTATAATAGTAACAGTAAGTAGGCTGGATGGTACCATCATTAGTGTATTGTATATATTCTAATATAAACCAAATGAACCATAGTGGGGTGGTTTTTCTGTTGGTTTTTGTTTTGTTTTTGTGGCTTTGGTGGGGTTTTTTTGTTGGTTTTTTGTTTTGTTTTTACCATTTATCAGTCATAAGGGTAACTAGGTTTCTGTTTTTCTTTTGGCTTCATGTGTAGTTAGTTCACTGCATTTGACCAGGTATTTGGGGAGAAGATTGCTATGGGAGAAAATGACAGACTGAGAGGAAATCTATAGTTTTGTCTTTGTGCTATGGTTTAGGAATATTTAATACTTTTCAAGATGTTATTTAAGAATTCTTTTCTGCTGTCTTTCTTATTAGGATCATAATAAGTCATTTATGGTTAATTAACTCAATTAACTGTGTGGGCATGTAAGATATATATATACCTTTGTACATTAATCTATAGCAGTAAGCTTAGTTTTTGTTTTCTTGAAACTATCCTTTATACAGAATTTAATATAATAAATTGGTGTATTTTGTAATAAAAGACAGGATTTCAGTCCCCTGATATTTCAGTATTAGAAATTTTTATAAAGCTGCTAAGGAGCTTGGTATAATTTAGTTTCAGAGAGCTAGGTAATTTGGTAAAACTCCTGCCAGCTTGCCAGATACTCAGACAGTGTTTTGAATTAACATTCAGATTGGGCTACCTTTACACAATACAAAATGGGTCAGTTGAGTGTGTCCTGGGATCATAATATCTCACTAGAGATTAGCTGTGTAGAAGACAGTGGGCTATAAAGGTATCTGATTTCCTTAAAGGAGAGTGAGCCACCCCCAGAGAGAAGCAGAAGTTTTGCTAGCTCATCTCCCAGGTAACTGTCAAAGTTGCTGAACAGTTTTGATGTGTGGTCTTTCCTCTGACAGTGCACGTTCGAAGGCTGTGGGAAGCGCTTTTCACTGGACTTCAATTTACGCACACATGTGCGAATTCATACTGGAGACAGGCCCTATGTGTGCCCCTTCGACGGCTGTAATAAGAAGTTTGCTCAGTCGACTAACCTGAAATCTCACATCTTAACACATGCTAAGGCCAAAAACAACCAGTGAAAAGAAGAGGGAAGAATGTTCTCGAACTCGAGAAGCATCTTACAGGAGTATGATTGGAAATAAATATGCCTCTCCTTTGTATATTGTTTCTAGGAAAGAATTTTTAAAAAAAAAATTGAATCCTACACACCTAAAGGACATGTTTTGATAAAGTAGTAAAAATAAAAACGAAAAAAAACAAAAAAGAAAAAACAAAACAAAAAAAACTTTTAAGATGACATTGCTAAGATGCTCTATCTTGCTCTGTAGCCCAGTTTCAAGAACACGGTGTTTTGTAAAGTGCAGCCCCAATAGGAGGCTAATTCATGAACTTGCATCAAAAAGACAATTCTTTATACGACAGTGCTAAAAATTGGACTTCTTTTCACATTCTTATAAATATGAAGCTCACCTGTTGCTTACAATTTTTTTAATTTTGTATTTTCCAAGTGTGCATATTGTACACTTCTTGGGGATATGCTTAGTAATGCTATGTGTGATTTTTTCCGGAGGTTGATAACTTTGCTTGCAGTAGATTTTCTTTAAAAGAATGGGCAGTTACATGCATACTTCAAAAGTATTTTCCTGTAAAAAAAAAAAAAAGTTATATAGGTTTTGTTTGCTATCTTAATTTTGGTTGTATTCTTTGATGTTAACACATTTTGTATAATTGTATCGTATAGCTGTATTGAAATCATGTAGTATCAAATATTAGATGTGATTTAATAGTGTTAATCAATTTAAACCCATTTTAGTCACTTTTTTTGGAAAAATACTGCCAGATGCCGATGTTCCGTGTAATTTCTCTTTGCCTGTTCAGTTACAGAAAGTGGTGCTCAGTTGTAGAATATATTGTACAGGCATTGACTTTTTATTAACACCCAGTATGTACATCCCATGTAATAGAGAGGGCAACAATAAAATAGTGGTCCTAAAGGAAGAAAATGGCAGAAAAATGATCTGTAAGCACAGTCTTTTTTTTTTCTTTTTTTTTTTTTTTGTCCAGAATAATAATTTTTGAGCCTCCCAGAAATTAGAAGCTAAATAAAGCTACTCAAGTTTCCTTTACTTTTGCATTCAATTACAGTGATTTGTGATGAAAGCGGTGCCTGAAATTTACAGACCATTGTATATTTAAGATCTGCCTAAAGACAAAATAGGTAATGAACATCTTGGGTTAGAGATACTTGAGAGCTCCTCAAGTTGAATTGTTGTTGGTGATGCGTTTGTTCTTTCAGCACCCACCTCTGCCATGGCAAAGCCACTCAGTAAAGCTGTGTTGACAGTGACCACCCTTATGTGCTTTGTCAAGGTAAGATATTCCCGGTGGCATTTGGGGGCTGCAGATGGGTTTGAGTAGGGGGGTTGAGGCAGTGCACAGAAGAATTTGGGTTACTCATTACTCCAGTGAGATTGTATATCCAAACCTTTATTTACAGCCTTGAAGTTGCCTTTAAGGTCATCAGTGAGCCTTTGAGCCTTCCCCTTAATGTGTTTGTTTTTCCAGTAGAAGAATGGGCTGTTTCTAAGCTTTTGTTCCTCTCTCTAGTAGAGTCTTTCAATGCTAGTTTCCCCATTGGTACCAGTCAAAGAGTCACTGAAGAACTGGTAACCTGCATGCTTCCAAATAGACAGTGAGTGCAATTTTGCAAGGTGACTATCATTAGACTGTTACAAAATTGTACTCAGGGAATATTTTACCTCTCATATTGTAGGTATGATTATAATCTCGGAATTTTTATTCAAGGAATAAAATTAAGTATCAGACACATTGAAAATATTTTTTACAAACTGCCACAATACAGTAAATTCCTTATCCAAACAGCCAGATGCTTTTTTCTATGTCAGTGCTTTTATGAGAGACTGAAACAAGTAAAGTAGCTGTTATCAGTGATTTCTTTATTGAAAAATAATTTCTAGGCTATATCAGGGTTAATTGATTCAGTCCATCTATCCCATCTCCTAAACTTTCTATATGTATTGTCCCATACAATAATCATCACTTAGACTTTCGCAGGGCCTCAGGGTCATCATAAGTGCCTTCTGAACTGTTAAGAAAGGTTAGGTTGATTTTAGTATTTTGGTGATATATAAGAAATAACTGTGTGGACTAAATGGATTTAATTATGTAATTAACATTTTGCTTCATTTACAATCATTAATTGATCCACGCCTGCTATCATAATACTTATTTGGTGGTCATTTAAATAATAGTAGTGGTTGTCAAATGGTTAGGCCCTATGTGGGTTCATGCTAGCTAGATGATTAGTGAGAAACTGCAAAGAACTTTAGACACCTATTCCAATCCACTTACTTTACAGATGAGGAAATTGAGGCCCAAAGAGAAATGACTTCCCCAATATCATGGCAGATTTTCTCTTTATCTCTTAGTCCAATGTTCTTTCCAGTTTAGGGGAAGGGATAAAAATCTCAGGCAACCACCTTTGACTCCTAGGTTGCATGTTCTATACCAGGTAAAAGTTTGATATTCAGTTAATCATACCAGTGGGGAAAACCTGGGCTGCGAGTTCAGAGATATGTGTGCTAGTCCTGGTTTTGTCTTACTTGCTATGTGACCTTAAGGATATCACTTTTGCTTTCTGAACTGGAGTTTCCCCATCTATAATATAAGGGAGTTGGAACTTGGTATTCTAGGTTCCTTCCAGCTTTGGAGTTCTGTGTTCCACAATCCCATTCCTCAGCCTTTAGAGATACATAGGACTTTACTGTATTTGGCAGTATGTGTAAGAAGTAAGCCCTTGGATGGATTTCTAACTTTAAACTGTGTGCTGGCACACATACTATGCTTTGATTAGACCTGAGGCACAGAGTCCAATTTATTAATGTAATATAGAATGGTTCATACTTTCTCTGACTGTCCTAAGGCTTATTCGTGTCTGTGTGAGGTTATCAGAATTCCAACTGAGCCACTAGTTTGCTTTATTCTTAAGTCATAGTTACATTTTCCATTTATCAGTCTTATAATACACTGGAATCTCACCATGACTGAGATCAGGTTGCCCAGAAATCCATCTGCTAATTATACACATTAGACCTCCTTGGAAAGGGGGTCCAAGACAGGCCCATGTTTATATAAAGCAAATCTCTAAGGTAGACCTTTTTTTCCTCTGTGCCTTGTTAACCCCTGGGCATGTCTTGAACCATCTTTTCCAACCAACCCTTCCTATTCTCATAGCCTCCTTTCACACTAAGAGTATAGTTCAAATTTATCTTGTCCATATGGAAAGTATGGATTTTTTTTTTTTTAGAAAGTTTCACGTGGGGATTAGTAAAAATAATATACAACTTCTTTATTAAGGGATTACAGCGAAAGTTAAATGATTGACAACCTTGAAAAAAGTAGTAGTTCTTTAACTTTGTTGATCTTGAATTGTGCTACTTAACGTTTTAATTTATAATTTGCTAAAAATACTAAAATTGTTAAAGGGCTTCTGAGAATAGGTTTGAAGATTTGACTTGATTTATGATACTCCCATTCATTTTCTTATCTGTAAGCAGATATAAATGCACATTTCTAGGCTATGTGACAAATTCCAGAGGCAGGTTACATTTCATCAAATGTTTATGTTTTTGAATTTCTGATTAGTCTGTCAGTCCAGAGAATTAGCCTCTTACAAGGTGACAAATTAAAACTTCAGATGATCAGACCCCAAAACTTGAGGAATTTTGAAAACAATTGATCTGTAATTTGTCCCTATTGCAGACGTTTATTAACTGGCATGATGAGAAGGGCCTATCTTAATTATTGCAAAAAATAAACTTGTAAGCAGTTTTGAATGAAATGGCTGTATTGGTCTACAAAGCCTGACTAGGTAGAGGTCCTGTATTATTTTTTCCTGAATATATACATAAGAATTTGATTAACAAATTGATTTGTATGCAAATGGTTCTGCTAATGTACTTTTTGGAGTACTTCTATAGAAACTCATTAAATCCTAATATGTGCAGTATATCGTGCCAAGCCTGCTAGAGATGGAACAATTAGGCTGTGTCCCTGTCCAAAAATCTTAGTTTATTGTGAAGAGTAAATGGGTACACAGGAGAATGCAAATTAAAATATGAAAGTGCCTAGGAGGAAGATAAAGAGCTACTAAATAAAATGTGGGAAAGGTCTGTTAAACTGTTAGAAGGGTTTAAAGTATCCTGTTCTGTTTTTTCCCCTATTACTCATTAGCTTGGTGTTTGTAGATCAGGTATAAGGTAATAATATATATAAGGTGTAATCTTCAACTTAACATGCCCAAGTCTGTGACATTCCAGTTGTGTTAGGATTTGCTGAATATTTGTTATCAAGTTTGAGACAGTCACTTTGAATACATTTCTGAACCTACAGCCTTTTATTGATCTAACTACTTCCACTACAGGCTTATTCCTATCCCTGTGTAGCCCAGTTTGTATGATCTTTTGTGCAATAACTGGAAATTCTCAGCTGATCCCCATGGAGAAAGTGAATGAATGAAACTCAAAGGCCATAAGTAAAACATTTAACAAGTGTCAAAGACCTGAGCTACTTTTCTAAGATGCTGCTTTGGCCTGAGAGCCTTTTTCTAGGCTTTTCCTTCCTGGCTCAGGTAGTAGACCAAGGAAAGGCTTGCATGCCTATGTTCCTGTCCAGACTTTTACAAAACCAAGAGTGATGCGCAACCTAGACTGGCCAAAAATTTTGAGTCTCCCCCTGCCAACACCTTCAGTGTCATAGGGAACTTACATATTCAATAATTGTTAAAGCACCTATCATGTATGTACAAAGTACTATGCTAGGTACTGCAGGGGAGATAGGCTATAAGAGAAAATGAAAGGGACATGTCATCTAACCCCATTTTTTTTTTATTATTATTGACAGCTTTTTATACCACTCACTTTGGATTAATGGGACAAATACCCATCATATAGATGGAAATAAGGTACAGAGAGGTGAAATGTTTCTTTTTCCTAGGTTACCTGAGTAAAGAGCTGGGATTTGAACCCAGATCCTCTTGACTCCAAATTTCTATTCCCCACATTGTAGTGTTTCCAACAGGAGACAACTCATACACAAATATGCATTTCTATACAAAGTATATATAGTGTAGGGTAAAAGGCATTATAGATACAAAGTACTTTTCTAGGGAGGATCATTTAGGGTTGGGGGCATATAAGAATTCCTAGAGAAGGTAGTATTTGCTTCTTGGCTTTGAAACTGTAAGAAACATTCCAACAGAAGGAGCTGTAGAAAGGATAGCATTAGCCAAGGTGTAGGAGTGGTAAGGAAGTGCTACAATATGCAGAAGAGATCAAGTGGTTCGTTTTGGCAGAAGAGGAGCACATGTGGAAAGGAGTGCTATGAAATGAAGCTGGAGAGGTAAAGAATACCAGAGAGTGGTGGGCTCTCAGCGCTTGACTGAGATCTCCATAGACAATTTTTAGGTGACAGGAAGCCACTAAGGGGCAACATGACTAGGTATATGCTTAAGGAAGGTGGCAACAAGAGAAATACGGTTGAGAGGGAAAAGGATGGGCATGCAAAATCCCTGTTGGGCTATTTCAGTGTTCCACATTTGAGGTAGTGATCCTTCCCCCTGTGTTAGGGTGATGAGCACAAGGGGAGGTCACCATGGAAGCGCTACGTCCTTGTGTAGTTTTGTAGAGAATGGAGACGAGTGACCCTGTGTTTTGTGTTTTGTTTTTTAAACAGGCCTGAGCTTAGCCTTTAAGGAGGGTCTTTAATGCCAGTTAATCAAAATACACCAGAATTCCTTAGTAGTCAGGGGATTCAGTCAGCAAACCTCAGGCATGTAAAGCTTATTGGAAGCAACCCTGGATCTGGAAGTGAAAGGCCTGGATTCAAAATCTGACTTAGCTCCCCTGATCTTATGTTTTAAATCTGGATGTAGCAAATTACTAAATTCTTAGGTTTCTCTTGAATCTGGTTGATTTCATGTGTAATTCTCTAAATAGACTACCACCGAATGTAAGTCGTAACACCTAAGATAATACCTGTTTGAAAGGAAGAAAATATGTAAGTATCTGCTAATGAACGCCTTGTGATTTCAGCCATGCAGTGGCAAGTATCATTGTATCAAAAAGAGCTTGGACTTGTTTAGGCTGAGAAGACGTGTGTTGAATCCACCACTTAATAGCTGTGTGACCTCAGACAAACTCTTTTCTTTGTAAAATGGAGATGTTTTGCCCAACCTACCTCACAGGGTTGTTGTGAGGAAAGTGCTTTGTAAACCTTAAAGTGTAATGTAAAAGAGTTGTTATCCCTGTGGGTACTCCTTCCACACATGCCGATCATGTAGCAGCAGGTTGTCAGGAGCTGCTTTGACCAAAACGTTAATCACCCGTTGGCAAAACCTGGTGATGAGAATGCATTTAGCTGGGCTGTTACTCAGACAACAAACAGATTCTGAGAACAAAAATTTAAAAAAAAAAAAAGAAACCTGTGCCATGATAAGGTATTAGAAGAGGACCTTAGTGAAAGACTAAAAAAATTAATTGCATAAAATTATCATATTAAATAATATATACATGCTATAGGGGATTTGAGGTTTGGGTTTTTTTGGGTTTGGTTTTTTTTTGTTGATGGAGTTAGATTTTTGTTTTGGGGATTTGAGGGGGAATTTTTTTTCCTTTCCTTTCCTTTCCTTTCCTACTCACAGTTTATTTTATTCACTGTTAAAATCACATGTAATTTATCCTGTTAAGAGAACTAATCATAGAAAAATAATAAAACTTGAGAACTCAAATCTGGTTTCATACATATCCAATTTGGGACAATTTCAGAAAGCATAGCTTTTGTCTGGACCCAATGTAGCAATTCTTTGTCATTGTTTTATAACTTAATGATATGCAAATAACAGTGTAGTTGCATGTCTAATTACCTTGAAGCTTTAAGTCATTGAAATTCAAAACCAGAAAAAAATGACTGATTTTTTTTTTCCGCAGCCTAAAAGGTTTCTCCTGTGTTGACTACATTTCATTCTGTATAGAAGAAATTACAGGTCAAATCTGTAAAAGACAGCATTTGAATGTTGAGTAGGATCTTCATTAATTTCTATTGGATGACATTTGTGAGTGCCACATGATGTGTCAGGATCAAGGAATGCACTTTTTTCATTACTGAGGGAAGGGTAACTACTGAATCATTCAACTGAATTTTTCTTCGAAATCTGGAGGCTTGTATCACCTGGAAATAGTAATGGTTTGAATAGTTAAACCAGGTCATGGAGAAATTTCATTTTTATCCACTTTCTGGTGACTACTACAGGCCACAATTCAAGGACTTGAGCGGTGCATCTCCTGTGCATTTTTCCTTTAAGCCATTTCTGGAATTTTCCTTGGTTTGTCATTAGCTCATAGATTGTAGCTGCAGAAATACTATATTTGAAACATCTGCATCAAGCATTCAGATGACATTGCATCAAGAGAAGCATTTAGCTATGACTCAGTTTTAAGCATCAAGCATGTATAACCTGGCCCTATAAAGTACAATAAAGAAAGAATGTTAAGATTTTTAAGGCCTGTATTTCTCATTTGTTCTTTAATCATGTAGTGAGTCTATTCATTTGCTTTATTTGAATTCGTTTGTTGATACAATGTGGATCCAAGTGCTAGAAGGGGCCTTGGGTAACTAAGAGCAGGAGTTCCATCTATAAGGTGGTCATTAACTTCTTTTTTGAAGGCCTCCAAGGGATAGGCAGTTCATTCCCATTATTTCACTCAACATTTAAAAAGCTCCAAAGTGTTTCCCCCTAATATGGAAAAATTAAAGAATAATGGAATTCAGGAGCAGACAGGACCTCAGTTAATCTCATCTACTTCCTCATTCCCTGGAGTCAGGTCTGATTCAAATCCAGCCTTCAACTATATATATCATCTATAAAATGGGGGTAATGATAGCGCCTACCTCTCAGTGTCTTGAGGATAAAGTGAGATATTTATAAACTTTAAAGCCGTATAAAACTAGGACAACTGGCTAGTTATAATACTATTATATAAAATAATATTTTATTGGGGCAGCTAGGTGGTGCAGTGGATAGAGCACTGGTCCTGAAGTCAGAAGGACATGAGTTCAAATCTGGTCTCAGATCAAACACTTGACACTAGCTATGTGACCCTGGCAAGTCACTTAACCCCAATTGTCTCACAAAAAAAAAAAAAAATTTTACAAATAAGGAAATTGACCTAGAGACTCTGACTTATCTAAGGTCACAAGTAAATTAGTAAATAGGAAAGCCACAATTTGAACCCAAATCCATTGCCTATTCTGCTAGTTTCTTCCAAACCTGTCACCCTGCAAACTTGTCTAGACCGGTTCCCTAACCTTAGTTTAAGGTGTCTTCTTAATTTGCCATAGGCAAAGAAACTAGCCTGGTTTCCTTTATCAGTGGTCAACAAAATTTTCCCTTGTGGTCTATCAAAATCTTTCATGCTGAGTATTGAGTTAAAAGAAAAATCATTTAATCTTCAGAAATTAAAATGAGTTTTACTGCTAGGCTCACTTGTATGTAGCTGAAAATTTTGTATCTCAAGAGCTGCCCCTGTAATCTGGTACCTGACCGCGAGATAAAAATGAAGGCTTTTGGTGGTCTGCAAGCTCAGTATGAGTCAATAGTAATATGACAGCTGAGAAAGCTAAAACAATAAGACTTCATGTTCAGAATTGAAAGAACTGGTAGTACTTCTGTAGAATCTGCTCTGGTTCATCTACCATCTCTTGGAGTTTTAACACTTGGTTTGGGGTATTTTAGAAACAGCATTGCTGAGTTGGGGAATACCTTAGAGGAGGGCAACCAGGATGGTAAAGATACTGATGTTCAGGCCATCTGAACCTGAAGATGTTTAGTCTGGGTAAGAGTTGAGTTAAAGAGGATATGACATCAGTCTTCAAGTATTTAAAGCACTGTCCACATTGAAGAATCCACAGACTACTTCTGCTTGACCCTCGAGTGCAGAACTAAAAGCAGTGAGTAGCAAAAGTAGTAATGAATTGCAGAGGCAAATTCGGGCTTGATAGTAGGAAAAAAATTCCCAATAACCATCCAAAGTGGAACAGGTTGCTTCCAGGGATAGCTGTTTCCCCGCAGTGGAAGACTTTAGGAAAATGCTGGATAACCAAGTCAGTAAACATTAAGCACTTAGTAAGCTGCATACTGGGGATTTGTTCAGTAGTTTCAGTCATATCTAACTTCATGACCCCATTTGGAGTTTTCTTGGCAAAGATACTGGAGTGGCTTGCCATTCCCTTCAGCTCATTTTACAGATGAGGAAAGTGAGGCAAATGGGGTTAAGTGACTTGCCCGGGGTCACACAGCTAGTAAATGTCTGAGACCAGATTTGAACTCGGGAAGATGAATTTTTCCTGACTCTAGTCCCTCCACTGTAACCAGGGCAACACCTATTTTATCCCATGTGCTGGGGATACAAATACTTCTTTGAGCACTCCTTCCCTGAAGGAGCTCACAGTCTAATGGAAAACCACACAAAAAAGAAAACTGAAAAGAGAGGAGGAGAGGAAGACATGATTGAGAAGTCAGAGATGTCCCCAGCAAAGAGCAACCAAATGAGAAATGAGTGTTTTGGAGTTGCATGTCTCCACCCTTCAATTAGTGGGGCAGGGAATAGTGATAAGGTGTACCAGGCTAATGACATCTTGTGGGAATGATGAGGTTTTTCCAATAGTAAGCTTCCTGAGGCATGCTGAAAAAAACAGATGCCTCACGTTAGTGCAGCCTGGTGAGAAATGACCATTTTTAAGCCTGTTATAGATGCAATTATTGATCAGATATGAATTGAATTTGATGGTTGAAATCTCTAAGGTTCCCTTCCTCAACTCTGAAATTCTGCCGTCTCATAGATGCTCCAGCAAAATCAATTTCTCTTGGAGGAGTTGAGAAAAAATATTTTTTTAATTAAGGGTAAAATACCAGAATGATTTGATATTCTGATTAATAATTGCTGCTCCTTGAGCTATATGTTAACTTATTTTAATGGATGCATCAGGTAAGAAAGGAGTGCTGAGGAGGCAAATATAGCACAGCATAAGTAGCCCTATTGGTCTGCGATGAGTGCAAGTTCTGGTGGTGTTGCCTAGCAAGGACAAAGTTATTTTTAAACATAATTATGGTGCGTATTTGGATTATTTTTATTGAAGGAATATATAGCCATACCACTTTGGTGTAGTCCGTCCCTAGGGATACAGAGGGATATAGAGCAGGGGCACAATCACTAGCCTGAAATTCGTTGCTGTTCATTGGTTTCATTTGCGTCCAACTCTTTGTGACCCCATTTGGGATTTTCTTGGCAAAGATACTGGATTGGTTTGCCATTTCCTTGTTCAGCTGATTTTACAGATGAAGAAACTGAGGCAAACAGGGTGACTTATATGACTTGCCCAGGGTCATACAGCTGGCTAGTGTCTGAGGCTGGATTTGAACTCAGGAAGATCAGTCTTCCTGACTCGATGCCCAGTGGAGTCTATCCACTCTATCCACTGTGCCATCTACCTGCCCAGCCTGGGATTGAGGAGACCCAAATTCTAAACCCAGCTCTGCCACCATAGTGTGTGGCCCTGGGCAAATCACTCCTCTTCTCTTAGTTTCCATTAACTAAGGTTAAGTTGAGTAGGTTAATCTTTTAGGTTTATATGATGTTTTGTAGCTTATCTCATTTGATCCTAAAGAAAGAGGGCAGGAATTATTAACCCCAGATTATACAGAAAGTGTCCTAAGTGAGGACTTGAACCCAAAGGTCCCTTTCAGCTATAACAACCTGGTATAACTTGGGAGTCAGGAATCCTTCTGTGGGGCTGTTTTCTCTGTACGATGATGAAGTTAGTCAAGATGATCATTAAGGTCCAAAGCAATTCTAAATCCTTGTAATACATTCTCAGATTCTAAGCTCCCTTCCATCTAAAATTTTGTTACTTTCATTTATTCAATAAACAAATGCTAAGTTCATCTAGCTAGGCATGCTTTCCATAGTCTGCAGTGCTAATGGCCCTTGCAGCTGAAACAGTCTGAGATTGAATTGTAAAGTATTGCCAGGCTTGGTAGTGTAGGCCTCTAGTCCCAGTTAGAGGGGAGACTGTGTCCGGTGGATTGCTTGAGTTCAGCAGCCTGGAGCTGCAGGAGGGCACAAACTGATCAGGTGTCCGTATTAAGTCCTTCACTAGCAAGGTGGGCTCCTGGGAGAAAGGTGGAATCACTAAGCTGATTTAGGAGTGAGTGGCCCAGGTCAGAAACAGCAGGTCAAACTTGTCCATTAACAATGGGATCAGATCTCAAAGGACACTGAACTTACGGCCTGTGAGTAAATAAATAAAAAATGAGTAAATAAAATATTTAAAGTCACCATTGTAATACACTGAAGAATGAATTGACTTCTTCAATTACAGTTACTTTTAAGTCTTTAGACAACTTTAGGAGTTGCCAGTTCTGCTAAAAAAAAAAAATGAC